CTTTTCTATTTGGATTTTCACATTGAAAATTTATTACCTTATTTAGATACTGACCAACATTTATCATAATTCCGGCCCTGAAAATACGTACAGCTAATAGTTGAATTTTTTTTTTTGTCAGATTTATATACAGTTATTTATGGGTCTTGTACCAGTAATTGGCACGAGACATCTACTGTATTATTACAGTTAATCATTGGTTCGTTATTTATCATCAGAATTTTCAAACCTGTCTTATTGCGCCACAAAATGGTTTCTTTCTAATAATCCTAACGGTGGCAAAGTTTTCTGAAATAACTTGTTTTGGTTGAATTTTTCTAATTTTGGCATATTTGTAGGCTTAGAAAAGCTTAGACAGGCTTTTAATAATATAGTTCCGACAGGTTCATCTAAAATTTCATAGGGCTTAGGGGAGATTAAGATAATCTACATCTTAAATCATCATGAAACCCTAGTAATATAAATATACTGAACAGACCCATTAATAGTAAACTCAAAATAAATACTTTCAAATATCGAGATGCTTGATAAGATTTCGTTGTATTAAGATTTATAATCACTAATTTCATCTATTTACATGAAGCTTTACTGGCTAAATATCAGGAGGATAATAACACTTATCATTATATATACACCATTATCAAACATACATCATTATGGAACAAGAAATATACACCCATATATTTTCTAGTAGGCCCTTACTCACTATTGAAACACAAATTATTTCAAATAGTTTAGCATCAAGTTCACTATGAACCTTCAACACATATTATTCCAAAATGGGAGTACAATGTTGTAGAGCTGAATTCATTATGATCATTTATATATCAACTTATTTAAAGTTGCAGCAAATTCCAGTTTTCATATTTTCTTGGACAGCTTATTGGGAAAAAGACATTGCAAAAAAGGAGATAAAACATATTATCTCAGAACATTTCTATATTATGGTCATTTGTGCTTATTATATTTTTGAAATAGGCCCAGTCCGAATCTATCAAACACAATGAACTACTTTTAATTTTATTATGAAATTGAAGATCATTGCATTAAAGGGACTTATATATATTTATATATACAATGAATTTAACATTTTGTATGGATTAATCTACACAATGAATTTATTAATCTATCAAAAGTACATATGTATGCTTGCAACATCAGTGCCTTTATTTAGAGGATATTAGTCCAGAATCTTGAAATAAAGATTAACAGACTAAAGAATACACCTAATGAAGTCATTGATTTAATATTCAATAAACTAACTAAAATATATTGAAATTTAAATCAACTTTTAAGTTATTATGGAAAAACTGATAAACTGATATTTAATAGAGTATACTGTATTTAATCTAAGTTATTCTGAGTTTTCATCCATAAAAATGATATGTATTCAAGTTAAATTGTAATCATCCTACAACATTGAGATTTTTTTATTTATTTAAATTTTCTTATTTATATTATTTCTTTCAATTTAAAAATGTAAAAACATTTGAACATATCCAAAAATTTTTCAAAAGATTTTGAATTAAGACTCAAAGTCTCATCCTCCTCCTCATCGGCTTTTGACTTTAAAGTATTGAATAACATAACGGATCAACTTAATGATGATTGTCTTAATGAAATTTTTAAAAATTTAATAAAACTTCCTTATATTCATGTTATTCGTTTCTCACACGTGGTGTTTAATTTCTGTAAGACTTTTGTGGAAGAATATATTGGATTATAAAACATTACTCAATCAGAATCTATTTTTGGAGATTTGGGACTGAATGATTTGCACGCCATGCTGAAGCAACTGGCCTTAAAGAATTGATCTTATTTTGGATGTAAAAACATAGTAATCTTTTTTAAAAATATTCAATTAATTAGATAATTAGAAAATGTAAATATATTTTTTGGGAATACTGAAAATTCATATTTTTTAATTAATGGCAAATCTGTCTACAACCAGAGAATAGAATAACTGGCATCTTTTATTTTTTTCAATTATCTAATATTGGAATTATAATATTCAGGATATTTAATAATAATAAAATATGCAGGAATAGCTTCATTATTAATATGTAGAAATTAATGGATTAGTCCAAAAATTTTCTCTATATTGAAAGTAATAAGGAAAGGCTTATGATATACAAGAAATGGAATGTGCAATTAACCAAAGTAAGATCTACAAGGGGCTATAGGCTAATTATGAGATTATCATTATTAAAAATGTTCCATTGTTTACTTAATTATTTTATAAAAAAAAGTTCCATTGCTTTACTTATTTTTTTTTATATATAATTCCCAATTAAAGTCAATTTTTAAGAGTTTATAATGTCTTGTCATTTCCTAATTTTCACTCCAATAATTTATTTAATATTCTTAAAATGTTGGAATTATCCCTAAATAAGCTGAGAACCATATACCTTGTTAAAAAAAATCAGCATAGTAATGGAATTTGCTCTCTTGTATCCTAAGTAGATATATAATCTTAATTAGATCCAGATTTATTTTACAAGGGTCATTACTCTCTTATAAGAATATGAACATATCTTCAAACAATAAATGGAAAGCATTCTCACAAGAACAGTATAAATTAAATGGAGAATAATACTATAAATACCAATTATTTTTTGGACAATTGGATTCAAGATGAATTACATATCATTTTTAATTATGAAAATATAATTATATACCAAATTATAGAAGATGACAATTACTGTTTCTAGAGTATTTAAAAGTAGGAAATGTCAAAAATTAACATTTAATTAAATTAATAATATGCACTACTGTTCTTCAAAATTTCTTAGTAAATTGTGCAATATAAGATTGGATCCAAAATTTATCTTACAGATAAAGATTTCACATAAATCAATGTGACAATGCTACACACTTTAAAGGCAAGAATCCAAAAACAAGATCCATAAATAGTTCTTCAAGATCTTTCAAAAGCCTATGACAGGGTTGACATCAGTATTTTAAAGTTGGCTTTTCAAACAAATCAAAATTCCACTTCATATTACTATGTTTTTAATTAATTAACCTTTTTACTAACAGACAAAACAGTGTTATTTACCAAATGGATAATCCAAACTGCACAAGATTCTTCAAGGCATAGATTAGGGTGGAATGAAATAAAATTCAACTATGCAAATGGCATATAAAAAAGGCAATTATGGCAGATATTCACACACTGTGAAGTATTTATCAAAAGTTATTTGCAAAGTAGGAGTAAATAAAATTGTTGCAATTGTTAGTTACAATGCTGTGTTTGTACTCATCAAATATACCTGTAGTCAAAAAGAAATTAACTTTAAAAAAAAATAACATCATTGCCCCACACATATAATTAATATAACAGTTCAACTAAGTAATATTAATATTTGTAAAAGCCAATGAAAAGGAAGATTTTGAAATTGATTTGTAAGGAAATCCTATTTAATCAACTCAACATTCATGGGCTTATTCATATATAAATAGAATACAGATGGGGACACATATTATGGATGTTCTACTCTGGGAAGTCACACCTTGAGTATTTCTCCATGTATTTATTTCCTGCAGAGATGCAATCAACACAACATGTTGAATCAATTAATGCACTTATTCTAGGATTATATTATGCTGACAAAAATATTCTTCAAATATCGCACTTATAATAACTCTTCTACAAATGATAATAATATTTTTTCAACACTTCATATCAATAATAATTATACCTCTTTTAATAAAAATATCACTACAATATTATTAATGAATTTCTTCAACCACTACAATTTAAGAAAATCACAATATTAGGATTGATAGTTATTGTATTATGCCATATTGCACTCTTTTTTTTGATCTCAATAAAGTATTAAATGTACAAAAAAAAGAAAATCTCTATAGAACAAGTGTATATTTGGTGAATCATATTCTTTTACCAAAACTCATTTACATTAGTCAACTAGCTACTTTATCTGAACAAGAATGGAATGACATATCAACCTGTTATTTTCTTAGCCAAACAAAAATGTGGCCTCCCCAGATGCTTCCCAACTGCCTTTCTTCACTACATAAATATTCTAGACTTGCACAGCATTTGGTCAAGGGTTTATGCTCAACAATTAAGTCACTTTGCATATATTATTAATAACCATCAGACACTACTATTTTAATTTATTGTAGACAGGCTCAACTTTGTTTAGGCACTCATAACAATATTTTTTCTCATGACGCTCAATCCCTAATCATGGCTAAATACTTGTTTAAATCTAATCTCAGCCAATTTAACATTTGTACAGCCAGCTTAACTTTTTACCAAATAGTATGACCTGGAGACAAATGCAATTATTGTAAACAATAATAGATCTGTGGAAATAGTTCTGATATAATTGTCCATATTGCTTATATCTTGTACAAAATCACCACCCGAAATTAGAGCTAAATATTATGAAATTTTATGTAATAGTAAAAATAGTAATGAAGAAGATTTATTAAAATAATTGAACCACCAAAAAAATGGAAAACAAAAATCACTGAGCATGCTGAAAATTAACTATATCAGATAATAAGCAAAGTCATTGTATGGAAAGTTTTTTATTTGCTGTGGTATTCCATTTTGGATAGTTGAAAATCCCTTCTTTATTGACTTTATTAAAAGATTATACCTAATTTTCAACTCCCAAAAAGAACAGCACTTTTTACAACTTTGGTTAATAAAGAGTGCACCTATGTACTTAGTGAAATTAGTAAGGAATTGGATAAAGAAACAAAACTTACATAAGGCTAATTAATTTGTATTAAACATATATTGCTGATCTTTACTATTATAATAATTATATTTATTATATATTATTTTAGGCTTTGATAATAAATAGATATCACCCTCTGGTTAATAATGACAGATGAAGGCTGAGAATATGTTTACTCTTTAAAATTTTTTTTAAGAATTCACATACAGGAGAATTTTTAAGCAATGAAATTTTACAAATAATGGATGATGTTGGTATTAAAAAATTTTGCACTGTTATCTCAGATCATGCTTCTAATGTAGCATTAGCTAAAAAAATGATCATTACTCACCATTCCTATATAATTATCAATCTTTTAACCACTGATATTATGAACCTGGAATAGATATCTAATCTAACTAGTGAATGTAGAAAAATAGTTACTTTTTTTACTAGTTCACATAAAAGTGTGCATTATTAAGAAAAGATATAATTAAAAATTTGGTACCAGGCGGTGGTTTAAAAAAACATGTTAAAACTTGATGGACTACTGCATTTAATTGCACTGATTCAATTGTTTGATGCTATAAAATCAATTAAAAAATGTAAGTATATATTTATAGTTTATTTTCTAATTAGCAAAAAATGAGTTTTGGCCAAGAAAACAATTATAATTTATTAATATATTTTATTTTATTTATATTTTTTTTTATTTAGTTAACAGAATATGAAAGACAGCTATTTAGCGCTGAAATACTATCCATTATTTGCTGTTGCAATTTTAATGTGGTTCTGGAGGCCGGACCTGAACTTGTTCATCAGTACGTGGTTCTGGAGGCCGGATCTGAACTTGTTCATCAGAAGGCTCAACTGGAGGCCGGACCTGAACTTGTTCATCAGTACGTGGTTCTGGAGGTCATGATATAGAAGATCTTTGTTCAATTTTAAATCCAATTAAAAAAGCTATCATAATACTTGAACATAAAAAGTTATATTAGCAAATTGTTTTATTTGTCTTGCAACTATGGCTGCATCTATAAAAGAATTACTTCAAATCAGAACTATCAATTTTCATTCTAAATGTAACCAATTTTTAATAAAAAGTGGCAAGAATTTAACTTTGACTTATACCTACTCGCATATTTTTTGCATCCAAATTATAGAGGTAAATATTTTTAAAAAAAATTATATAATTGTTTTAAGTTTTAAAAATTAAATTAGAATTATTTTGTTCATTTTTAGATATAGGTTTATAACAAAATTACTTTTTGAATAATTTGTGAAAAGCATTATTCATTTGGAAAGTATTAGGAAAAGGAAGCAATTCAGCAAATAAATTAATTGCTCAATTAACATACTATTCTCTTAAAATTTAACCTCATGATTTTGAATTTGTATCTGGAATTCATAATGTCAAAAATTGGTGGCTAATGTGTAAACAAAAAAGTATCATATTCAACAACTGGCATTAATTGTCAATGCTATAAAGCTACATAATGCAAGTTGTGACCATGACTTTTCAGTTTTAGGTTGGTATATGAATAAAAGACAACTATGGTAAGTTATTTTATTAATTTTTAATTTATTTATTATGCAACATATTTAATAATAAACTTTTTTTAAAATTCTAGTTTCAATTATGATTTATTACAAAACATGGCCAAAGTTTATTCTTATTATATTTCAAATATTCAAATAATACAAATTCTGAAATTACCTATAGATATATCATAGCAAAAATTACAAGACATAATTGCTCAAACCTCTTAACTTTTTGATATTGAAGATAATAATGAAAATGAAGAATTTAATGATAATGATAATAAATATAAAGTAAATGAATGGTAGAGAATGATAAAGAAAAGCTTGTTGAAACACAAATTAATTCAAATGTTATTAAATTTACAGAATTGATTGAAAATAAATAATTTCTAAGTTTCTACTTTTTAATTTCTATAATCTATGTGCAAAAAATTAAGTAAAATAATTTGGGATTTACAAAAGAATTTGAGGCAGGTGTACAAAAAGATTTGTAATGTACAAAATAATTTGAATTTGTACATTTGGGATATCATAATGTTGGCTTTCATCTAAAGTATTTTTGGTGGCATATATAGAATTTATAATATTAACAATAAAGTTTTTAACTGATCATATGGAATCCATTCAAATACTGTATATACATGTTGATTGATTTTGATTGCATTTTTAGAATTAAATTATCGATTTTTTGTTTCCACTTGTCCAATTAATAAATAATTTTTTTAAATAATTTGCATGACATGATCCATTACACTTTTCACATAAATTATTATAATAATTTCGAAGAACCATAATGTAATGTTTTGTATATGGAGCCTTAAAAAATTCCAGCAGAACAAAAGAAATCTTTAAATGAGGTATGAAATTTATTAGATTTATTTAAATATTCTTTAATATAATAATTATTTTCATAATTTAGGTTAAGATAGGCATTATGGATTTCTTATATATTTGCCATTTCTTTTGTTATATTTTAATGGGTTATCCTTCCATGTTGCTAAATATTCTTCAGTAAAGACAACTTCTTTAGTATCATCAAAATGATTGTATGGTCATTCAAATATTGCATCATAAAAGGAATTGATTTCTGATTGCATTTCTTGAATTAAATCTTGAATTAAACAATCTAGTAATTTTCCATTCCCTCTAGTCCAATTTGCAAAATTATCCTTTAAATAATTAATCTGACATATTTCACACCATTCATACAATAAATAACGCGAATTTATATTCTTCATCACATGTTTGACAATATACGTTTGGAATAATAATAATAATAATATAGTCTTCATGATTTTATTTATTAACTAAATTAGGGATTGGAACCGTCCAAAAAAATCTTAACCGGTTAAAAACTGGTTAATCGGAACGTTTAACCAGATAATAACCGGTTAAAGATATAAGTTTTACGTTTAACGCGTTTATAAGTTTTATTTTGCCCATTTGAATACTTTATAAATCTATTTCAATTTTACTCTTAAAATTATGCATCATTTATGATAAAAACACATTTTTAACTTTATTCATAAATATTTGATAAATTGTAAACACATAATTTATATGAATAATGTAAATATAAATACTAGTAAAAATGATAAAAATTGAAATAACAAAAACGATTGGTTGTTCTTAACCTATTTTCTCTAAAAAGACTTTATAAATAACATTTCAAGTATTTAATTATGATATTTATTTACCTTATTAGTGCTAACAACTTAAATACTTTGAATTTCTTTTAATAAAAAGAAGATTGTTGTCTTGATGACTCAGATCGAGATTCTTATATGTCTCTATAGTCAATATCATCCATGTTGTATAAAAAATAAAAAAATAATTTTAAAAAAAAATTTCGTAAAAAATTGAGCAATAAAAAAGTTTCAATCAGTTTATTTTTTTAGCTAGCCGTTAGCCAATATAGGAATATCGGAAGTTCTGAATTAAAAAATTATCTGATGACAATCTTCATATTTAACCATTTTTTGGATTATCTTAACCGGTTTACCGCTTTAACCGGTTAATTATCTGGTTAACATTAACCGGTTCCAATCCCTAAACTAAATAATTTACCTTAATCTTACAAACAAAAATTAAGAAAAACTGAAAGTATTTTTTTAAAAAAATTACTTCTTTTAAAATTTCATACCTTGTTTAGGAATTCAATAATACTTTGTGAGTTATAAATATTTTAAAGTAATTGTTTTATTTGATTCTCTTGTCCATTCTCTATTATAATAATATAATGGGCCATTCTTCTATAACGCAGAAAATATCATCTTTATTATTTTTTGAATATCACTTAACTTGATCAAATGATATCCACTCAAATATTATATCAGACTTTAAAAATAGATTTTAATTGTATTTCTTGAATAAGATTATCAATTTTTTTTATTTTAACTTGTTCAATTTGTAAAATTTTTTTTAAAATAATCCATTTGACATGATTACACCATTCTTAGCTTTAATTACATTTGTATACTTTTAAAGAAATTTATTGTGAAAAATCAAAAATGTGATGAAAACATTAATATAATCTTTCATCCTTGGACATTGAGATATTCTGTGTATTTTAAGAATTTCACTAATTATAATAACTAATAAATGCTTATTATATAAATTCGTATATTGTTCATCATATTTATTACATGCCCCATAGTTGTCTTGATTTGAAATTACTATCTCAAAGAAACAGGTTATGAACTGTTTTTCAGAAAAAAAAGACGCCAAATTTTAATCGATTTTATAGCCTTTATAGGAGTAATAAAAGTTATACTTGTGTGTAAGTATAGATAAGCTTTTGCAAAAAAAAAAGTCAAATTTACCAATCGATTTGTAAGCATAGCATAATAAGGGTAATACAATTGAATTACTCGCGTAAACATAGATAAGCTTCTACAATATTTCAAACGATTTTGCAACCATGATAAGGGTGATAGGAAATATAGATAAGCTTTTTTGAAATTTTGCAATCATAATAAGAGTAATACAATTTTGTATTACATGTTGTAAATATAAATAAATTTTCGCGAAAAGAAAAATATAAGCCGAAATTTTTAATTAATTGTAAGTTAAATAAGTGTATTTTTGTGCAAAGGAGCTTTCACGATAACGTGATAAAGGATTATTTGTATAAAAAAAAAAAAAAACTCGATCATGTGATTCACATAATTTAGCAACTACCCCAACGGCACCCAGAAAATTCATCGAACTCGGCCGGCGTTATGCACTGACACATGATCGAAAAATTTTGTGATGAATAATATGTGGCAATTAGGATTTCATCTACTAGAAAAAAATAAGTCCCTCAGATAAAAAACTCGGACGGGGCGTAACGATGTGATAAATAAAACAGATCACATGATCGAAGAATTTTATTAATTTAGCCACGCATTATGCAACGATTTTTGATTGAGTTACATGTTAGTTTGTAATGTTACTTGGCTATAAAAATAAAAATAAAAATTTTTGAAATTCGTGTTACATGGCCATATGACCATATGACCCCATAATAAAAACAATAATAATGTGATATTCGTTCAGGAGGTGGTTTATCCCCCTCCTGTTCTTTCTTTTTTTTCCAATCAAGGTGGTAACACCCTGTTTCTGTAAGGTACAGCCGTGTTTTGGTTATTAGTTTAGCGAATTACTTTCGGTCTTAGTCTGTAGGACTCGGTAATTTTTACTGTAACTCGGTTTCCAAACAAGTAATTTTAATTTTCTCTCTCCATGTTGATTGATTGTTATTTCATTTTGTGAATTAAAAATAAAAAATAAATAATAATAATGTGATAATAAATGAAATTGTGATAATATCAAAAGTAGCTGTTTATTTGAAACTAAAATATAAGATCTGGTGAGTTACTGTACCTTTCCACAATATATGGGCAATTAATTTTTTTTAATTAATCAATTAACTAATTAAAAAATAAAATTTTCTTATTTTAAAAGTAAATGTAAGCAATTTTTAACTAAAAAAAATCTCTTAACAATATTACTGGTCTTACAGTATAAATACATAGAGAATAATCCTAATTATATATATCAGACAAGTTAATTATACGATATTGAGTAAGTCGTAACTAAACATAATTCTGTAAATTGAGGCTATCATTGCTTTAATCAACCCAAAATCATCAATAAAATATCAAACATAATATCAATGGTTTGAGAAAAAAATTAATCTAATATCTATTTGGACGTACGATGACTAGAGAAATGACTGGCCACGCTACTAGGTTTCAAATAATGATTTCACATATCAACACTAGCTGAAGCCGCTGAAGCAATAACCGCAGCATATTAAATATTATGAAAAAAACAATAATTTTTAATATATACGCCAAAATTGAATTATGTATACCATCCAATTAATTATAATTGTTAAATTATTGTAATTATTGTCTATCGAATTAACGAATTAAAAAAAAAAAAAGTTTATTTGTATTACATTCCAAAGAATTCTTCGTGGTTTGAGTGTTACTTGTAATACTTTACATTTACGGTAATTTAAGAAAGTAAAAAATTTTAAAAACGAGATAATATCAACCAAAAATAGTTACACGAATTTCTATGATTCGTTCATCATTTTGACAAATAAAT